CAGACAGACAGACAGACAGACAGACAGACAGACAGACAGACAGACAGACAGACAGACAGACAGACAGACAGACAGGATGAAAAAAGTGTATATCGAAAAGCAAGCTGTTCTAACTTGTGCAATTCAAGGAAGAAGCGTAATACAAAAGAGTTGTACCTTAACACAGCCCTGTGGCACCTTTAAGACTAACACATTTGAAGGCACAGTGTGACTCATCATTTTGCATTAACAGATTAACACAGGTATCCTTTGGTAAATAATACTGGGCTGCCTGCTATTAATGTTGCAAGGTAGGAGAGGAGGAAACAATGAGAAAACGGCTGATGCAATTAGTTTGGCTGGACTAAAGGGAATGAAATGCATAAAAAGCAAATAAAAGCAAGATGAAATGCTTCACTGAAGGCACCGCCAACTGGAGTGTTTATTCTTCTCTCTTTTGTGCTGCTTATCGCAAAGCACAGTGTACCCGTATTTCTGTCCGTACTTAGGGGTAAGTCCTAACTTCATTTTTCTTCTAAAATGTATGATCTTCTCCCAGGTAACATTAGCCATGGTAAATGCCGCCTTTTCTCCCCTTTTTCATTCCCTTCTTTAGACAAGAATCTCCAGTGCTGAGTTGTGTATTATGGCTACATACCTTCAGCATCATCCCTGCTCGAGGCAAGAGGCCAGGCAAAGCTGTCATTGGTTGAAACATGGGGTGAGTCTGAAAACCTCACCTGGTTTTGCGCCCTATTTTAAAATCTTCTTGTGAGGCAAGTGTCCACACAAACACACACACACACACACACACACATACACACACACACACACACACACACACTGACAGACAACCTGTCATTGTTTACCTCAGTGGCTGCAACATCTGTAAGAATTGCTCTCTTCCTGACTTGACACATAACAGCTGACATTCACATTCTTCCTGCTCTTCAAGAGTATTTAAATTTATCTCTTCTGGAGGTAATTCCCCCCCCTTTTATTATTTAGTATAGATTGATGCTAATATTAGAAATGTCTGACTCAAGAGGTTTTAGCTCCTGATCATCACTCCCCTGCCCCAATAAAAAGAGTAACTCTAGCTGTTTAAGATATTAAAAATGCAGAAAATCAAGGTTCTCTTTACCACGACTGGAACTTTGCATTGTCTGAAGGATGGGGGGGGAACCATTTTCATTACAGCAACCAATCACACACTTATTGGAGAACGAACACTTTTTCTGGAGAAGCCCTATGACTCATGCTTGTCACCAGTCAAGGGTGCGCCCAAGCATGTACAGAAACATAAGCAGAAGAACTAAAGATGACAGCAATTTCTGAAACGACCTGAACAGTCAAGAATACAACCCCAAGATTTTGCCCCAGGTACCTTCTCCCCCTCATTTCATCTTCAAATGTCACAGCAATATATCCATCCATTGCTTTCAGAACACTGTACAGTACTTGGGACTCGTCCTTCTGACACATTCACAAGCCCCTCACAGAGGGTCTCAATGGCACTCTGCTGTGTCAAGAGAAATGGGTGCCCACAGGTACTGCCCATATAATCTCCTTGGCACGAAGGATTGTGTGGCACACAAATACGAGCACGGCTTACTACACAGCTCTTTGTGTGTTAACTGACTTACAGAAATAACAAATGAAACTCAGATAAGGAAGCTCTCCGCCTACACCAGAACCCTTCACCATCATATTATATGCTGTCAAGACAATTCCGACTTACGGTGACCTTTATCAGGGTCCTCCAGGTACAGAATGCTCAGAAGTGATTTGCCCTTCCTTTCTTCTGGGGGCCTCCTGGGACTGTGCAGCTTGCCCAAGGCCACACAGGCTGGATCTACTTGCAGGAGGAACGGCGGGGGGGGGGAACAAACTCCCACCCTCTGGCTCTGCAGCCAGATACCTAAACCACTGAGCCATCAGAGCCCTTGGATCCAATCAAATACAGGCATCATCATTGATCCATTAAAAATAATTACATTTGGACAAAGTATACTTATTGGCAACAATATAAAAGGTCTGGGGGGGTGTTTAAAAAGATCTGTGTGTAGCAGGAACTACAGTAGAACTAATATCAAAGACTGATGTTTTTCTACAACAGATTATATTTGAGGTAGAGGCACTCCAATATAATCCGGAGCATCTTCCAGCTGGGTTTTCTCACCACTCTAGCTTTTCTTTCTATTTGATGGGATAATGGAATTAAAAGAGCCACATGCTATTCTTTTGATTCATTATACCTGATGGCTCAGGTTTTACAGCCAAAGTAACTGGATTAATCTCTGCCACTCTGAGCACATTAAAACCCCACTTACCCCTCATCCATTCCTTTATGATTCCTCACTAGCAGAAAAACAGCACCTTTGTGTCTTTGGTATTAAAAACACAAATGTTACTGAGTAATGGAGGAAAGGGACAATCAATGCCCTTTAGCCCAAAATGTCTTAGGTCTTCGCATTTAAAAAAACCAGCTCCTTAGGTGCAATGCAATGGCCTTCTCAAACTACAGATGAACAGTTTTTACCTAAGTGGCATTTTCCTACATTATTCATGACAGACTTGTCAGCTCCGCATGCCTGCACCAAGCGAGCAAGCATGGCCTGGCCTGTTTAAATGAAAATGCTAAAGGTTTCCCTCTCCTCATCTAACTTAGATAAATGTGTACTTCTCTGCTGCAGGCTATAAATATCCTGATTCTCCTCATCTAACTTAGATAAATGTGTACAGTACTTCTCTGCTGCAGGCTATAGATACCCTGACCATTTAGGGGCACTTTCCTACTGTGTAGTTGCACCAGAAGAAAGGCACTGTGATCCTGTTTTGTTGAATATAAGGAAGATGATTGGCAAAGGCTTCTGCCCATATACTGTGTCAGTGGACTGAAGCATGGCATAAAACTTCATTTTGTTAACAGCAATGCAGGGGAAAAAACCTGATTCATAGTCATGTCCTTCAAGATGTGCCAAGAATGTATGGATTCTGTCTGTTAGGGATGTGCAGTTTGTTTTTATGGACTACAAATCCCAGAATTTTTCATTCTGGAAATCCCATCTGCAGACATCTGAAAAAGCTGAGTATGTTTCGCCTGAAGAAGATTAAGGGACAACACAGCAGCTGACTTTATACGCAAAGGGCCCCCACAGCGAAGACAGAGAGGGCTCCTTTCTTTACAGGATCAGAATTAATGAGCAGAAACTGGAGGAAAGATGATCTTGGGCTCAACATAAGAAAAACTTCATAAGAGCTGGTCAGAGCTGTTCCGTGAAGAGCAGATTGTGAATGATTCCTTTGGCTGGAAGCATTTAAACAGAGACTCGATGGCCATCTGTCAAAGATGCTGATGTTGCATCCAGCTTTGCAGATCCTCCATTAA